GTTGGACCATTCTCTATTGAAAACAGAAGATCCTTGTTCAATAATATTCCAAACATTTCTATCAATAGATTCAATAAAGATCTTCATCCTAATCTTCCAAAATGGATAATTTGTACCTCAAAATAGTGGAGGTCTATTAATAGAAGCACCCTCAGAAAAAGGTAATTTGTTTTCATCCATGAAATATTTGGATCGAAAGTCTTGAGTATTTTTCAAGACCATGCTCTGATACCAATTGTTAGAAAAAGAGGCTGAGATCAAGAGGGGGGATGAATTGATCTTTGAAAGATTTTCGCAATTTATAGATTATCTATTTCAAAGATTAAGAGTTTTGATCAATTCTTAAACCAAGAAAATCAAGCTATTCAAAGTAAGACAGCAGCAGAATTAAAGAGAGTAAGGTTTAGAGAAATACAACTAAGATTTATATTGGTTCACCCAATCTTAGGACTACGTCCAGTTCTCAGCCAAATTCCAACTGAGTACCACTAGATTGAATGTTTTACAGATTACAGATTCCAATCACACACTCAATCTACCAAGAACCAAATTCCATTTTTTGAACCAACCTGCAACCAAATTCCAACTACAGAACTAGTGCCCAATAATTCCAAACACTCACCACCCAAGAACCAAGTTCAAGTTTTTGTACCAACCTGTAGCCAAATTCTAACTACAGAACCAGTGCCCAACAATTCCAGACACCCACAATATAGTAAAGAAATGAAGAGAAGAAACTAGGACAATCAAACCCAGATTATGTAGCTTCTAAAGAATGAGTTTCTTCACCAAAAGAATGCAAAAATTGCCTCAAGAAAGAACTTTCAAAAACACCATGTAGACCCCAAATCTTGTCCGGCCTCAAAATAAAGAGCAGAACACCTCCAATTCGAAGATGGGCAAGGCCTAAAAGGTCCCCAGGATAGACTATTAGGCCCCATATTAGAGTAGGAAGGCTTTTCTGTACAAAAAATAAGGATTTCCACCTTAAGGACCGAGACCATCGTCTCGCTTATCGGGACCACCGTCTCGCCATTGGCAAGATCGAGACCGCCGTCTCGTTTGGCGAGACTGCCCTCTCACCACTTGTCATGGCGAGACCGCCTTCCCATTTGGCGACGACCCTCTCGCCATTTGGAAAATCGATACCGCCGTTCCGATTGGCAAGACGGTCGTCTCGACCTGACAGGCGCGAATCTCTATAAAAGAAGGACGCTCTCCCCTTCTTTTCACACAGTTCTTCCACCTTTCTTTCTAACATTTCTCAAAATTCTTCTCCTAGAGCCCCTCCGAAGCATTTTCGGAGTTTTATGAGAGTTCTTAGAGAGTTTTTATAGCGTTACGAGAGAGAAAAGTCAACATTGTAGAGCGAAGGACTGCCAAAACGCGTCCTATCTTTAGAGAATTAATCAAGAAAGCTTGCTCCGGAGGTTTCTTCACTTTCTCCCTCTCTTTTACTGTTTTTTTTTACTTATATTTATTTGTGCATTAGTTATTAGGGTCATGTAGTCACTATCTTTTAATTCCGCAAATAAAAGGTAAAAGCGTCATTTTAAAGTTTGTTTATAAAATAACTGGCTTGTCATAGGGAACCCGAAAGGGGCATCATAGGGAAGTTAACATCTTCCCTACACGTAACTAACTCCCTTACCCAACTCTAGTTATAACGGCCCAAGTTGGTTTTTCTTAAAAAAAAAACAATGCCATCTTTTTCCTTTTCCGATGTTTTCAGTAAAAACATCGGTGGCGACTCCATAAGAACCCTCTTCGAAAACCTTGCTTTTAGGTCCAGCCCAGTTATCGGACAACCTAAAAGCTCCCTTTCAAAAACCTCGCCCCTAGGTCCAGCCCGGTTATCGGACAACCTAGAGGCGTTGTAGCCTCATCCATATAAAATGCGAAAATATAAGTCAGAATCATCATGTCGCTCCGACCGCCTCTTTTGACAGCGGCGACAGATGGCGACTCCACTAGGGAAGCCTAGAGAGTTGATCTCATTTAGTGATGGGTCAGTTTAATAAATAAACTTAAAAAATTTTGCTTTTACCCTACCTTGTTTTATAACATGTTTATTTGCTTGGCTTTAATAACTTTTGTTTGTTTATTTTATGCAATTGTTTGAAATACAAATTGTACACAAACCTTTGCACACAACAGTTCCCTCTATACCCGGGGGCAAGTGAGAAATCTATAGGGAGTGGGTGGCAGGTACGGTTTGTCGTAGTGAGGGTCATGCAGCCCACCGGTATGATCGGAAACCACCACTCAAGGTGATAACCTTCCTCTTTTGGCACAAAGATTGACTATGTATGGCCTTAGTGCTAAGCATGGTCGGAAGGCTGGAGAGTGGGGACCCTATAATGGGGGCACCTTGGGGGCCTAAGCTTTGGTGAGAACAGTTAGAACCTATCTTTGCCAATACACTTTTCTGTAGGAAAACCCTACCTCGTAATTAAACGTCATCTTACCTGATCGCGGATAAGTGAATTGTGTGTGTGCATTTGTTTGCTGCATTTGATTGCATAGCATAACCAAACAATAGATGAAAATAGAAAAATCACATAAATATTTTCGCAATAAACACCCTTATCTCGGACAGTCTGCCTTTTAGCTAGCCTAGTTTCAGGTTCTTTGTAAGCTAAGTAGTCACGCAGTCCGACAGAAGAGATAAGGGACGTTAAAACTATTCTATCGCAATAAACCATTTTTATCTCGGACAGTCTACCTTTTAGCTAGCCTGGTTTCAGGTTCTTTGTAAGCTAAGTAGTCACGCAGTCCGACAGAAGAGATAAAAGGCTATAAAATAAAACCATAAAAATCAAACAAAAACCCACATCAAATAAAAATGAGACCTTGTTCATAAACATTAAATTCATAAAACATTCATATAGGTAGTTTATGTTAAAAAATATATATACAAAAGCTATCATACATCATGTAGAAATAAAACATGATAAATATTTAGGAAAAAACAAACACTCGCATTCATACCTACAATAAGCATCATGTTCATAAGCATGCATTTTTATTTTTTTAGAAAATGGGGGGACTAGTAGACAATTGAAGAAAGTGGACATTCCCTGATACCACCCTGAGAAATTGGAACGGCTTTGCGCATTGATGCCACCAGAGGTCCGCTCCGATTTCAAAAAATCCTATGGACGGATTCTCGACCTACTGAAGATCTGTGTCGATCCTACTTTTATCAGGATTCTAGTTCATTTTTGGAACTCTAGTCTGCACTGCTTCGAATTCCTGCAATTCTATATGGTGCCTACCTTGGAGGAGTATGAGATTATGTTAAAATGACCCAAATCAGCCGGGGTCCATATCCGCCATGGAGCATATACTTCTGCAGCACAAGTCGCTGCCATCATCCAATTGTCGTTTCAGCAGACTACCCTGATAGCAAAAGGGAATGTCCAGGGTTGGAAGGTCGCAATGTTGGAAGACCATCTGTCCTCTTTGGCTGAGAGGGCAGAATGGGCTGCTTTTAACACAACCCTGGCTTTAATCATATTTGGAACAATTTTGTTTCCCTTCCATATCCACACATAGACCAAGTCGTCATGGACGCCTTCTTCACCTAGGACGTGAACTCGAAGAGTCCCTTGCCTGCACTTCTTGTCGACACCTTTCTCTCGGTGAAATTCTGTCACCAGAAGCAAGGAAAAACACTTAGATATTTCTCTTCACTACTTTTTGTGTGGGGTATCACACATTTCTACGCCTCTAGTCACATGGGGATGTTCCCCGACCCTTTGAGAAGCTTCTCCAAAATCCCTCTCCACCAACGTACGACCATGGAGTGGAAGGTCGAGATAGAACAATGGGACGTTAACCGATTATCCTGGGTATGCCCTTGGTTTTGACCTGGCCTAGTACTCATCAGATGCGGGGATTATCCGAGCATACCGTTGATAGGACTGAGGCGTTGCATAGCCTATTCTCCAAGGGTGGCTATGAGACAACTCATGAGGACTCAGACTGCAATATCCCGGGATAATAAACAGAATAACAAATCTACTAAAAAATCGCTTCAAAAGAAAGGTGCTACAAACAAAGTTTAATAAATCTAAAAATGATCGTCACAAAAATTGGTAAATTCTTGATATGATCGAAATTACAATAAAGAATCCTAAGATAAAAATATTCTCACTTTGGCAGAAATTATTTGTTACCTCTTTTCTCAATTCAAGAATCATAAATACAAAAATTTAGAATTTTTCGGAGATTTGACTTTATTTATAATAAAAAGAAAAGAAAACTAAAAAAATTATAATCAAACTTAATTTTTTCTAAATGTTAAAACTAATCAAATATTAATCTAATGATTTTATATTGAAATTCTAACTCTATATATATATATATATATATATATATATATATATATATAATTACATATAGTAACCAACTTAATTTTTTGAATAACTTTGACTTTTAACTCTTGAGCCTCCCATAAAAAAAGTTAATTCTGTCAAAAAAATAAAAAATATATATATTTTTTATTTTAACTCTGAAAGTCTACTAATAATTAAATAGCCAAATTAATCTAACCATATTCTATAAAGGTTATTGAACCTATCCAATTAAATCTTTAATTAGATATGCACTTGGATAACAAATTTTATAAAAAAAAGTTAAAAAAAAAAAACTTCTTAAGAACGCTTGAGTTATCGTTGAATATAGTAGTTGTGATTATTATTATTATATATATAAAAGATAAAGATTTGTTCTTTGGAGTGCCGGGCAGGGCTCTCCATTTCGTCTGGTGGTCAAGGGGAAAAGCGCGTTTGGAATAATCGCCTTATTGTTTTGTATTTATTTATATATAAATAAGATATAATTTTTCATAATTATTTCTTATACATATTTTTTTATGTAATTTTATCTTTTTTAATAATTAATTTAAAAAGTATAGTTTTATTTTAATAGTTGTGGGAAAATGTGAACAAAGAGACGTAGGTGTGATAACATAGAACTTAAACGAGGCGAAGAGGATGGAGAGAAAAGATGAAGTGGTAGTTGGTGTACCGGTGCCGGTGGTGCGGGCCTATTACGGTGGGGAAAACGAATACCAAAGAGGAGTGATCCCTCCTAACGCGGTGGTGGGAGATCCCAAGGGCATCCCCATCCACCAGACCATTTACAGGGACACTCCTGCTCCGTTCAACTGCCCTTACTGTGGTAGCACCGCTCTCACTAACGTCAGGTATGCTATTCTCTTCTCTCAATTTCAAATCAAATCAAACATCTATTCAAGGATCAAATTCAAATCATGTCGCAACACAATTTCCCCTTCCTCGACTCTATTAGGATCTTGTCAGTTACTCTACTTGTTATGCACTCATCCAACCCCTCCGGACTTTGTTTATTACACCCTACCACACCTATTCACCTTTACAACGTTTCCTTATTTCGATTAGTACTTCAACTTAAAACACATCTAGTTTCAGATGTAGGGAAATCTTTGTTATTTATTACTCTTTCAGGTTTAAATTTTATGCCTTATTCCACATTGACTTCACTGCCAATTACCTAGACACACTATATTCACAAATGTTATTTTGGGATTCATTTTAAAACGGTTGCTTTACTTTTCTTCCTTCCCGATCGATATTAAGAATATTTAAGCATAAATATAAAAAATGTAATTTAAGTATTTGGACATCACATTCATTTTTTTTAAATTTTGACTTAATCATGATTTTTGAAAATTTTCTGGCAAAAACAGATCAAAGCCTAGTTTGGCAGCATTTGTTGGATGCTTGATGCCCATGATGCTTGGAGTTTGCTTTCTTTGCCCCTCAATGGACTGCCTTTGGCATAAATATCACTATTGTCCTAAATGTCAAGAAAAGGTACCATCCTTCTGTTACAACTAATGGTCTCTCTCTATCTCTGGCCTCAATATGAATCAATTTCATTCCTCCAAATGTCCAATTGCAACTCAATGGCATTATTGGTATGTTCATCTGTAGGTTGCTGACTTTGAGAAATCAGATCCCTGTGCTGTCATGGATCCGCCACACTGGTCTCAGGAGAGCTTTGCATTGTCTGGATAGGATGATAATTCTGCTACTTCCCTTTGTGCTTGCATTTTCTGCAAACTATAACTTCATAATCATATCTTAAGACTTAGTTGCTAAATGTGCATGGGACAAAAAAAAAAAAAAGTTATTGTTACTTACATTTCTTGAGTTTGATCAAAAGTTGAATTATCTACATGTACATCTTTTGTTGGCACAGTTATAATAAACTCAGGTTATGTTAATATTATACTTAGAAGGAGAATTGCTGGCATCCACAACCTGCATACTTTGTTTTGTCAGACAAGAAAATAGTTTTCAGGAGATATTCAACCTCATTTCATTTATAATAAAGTGGTGGCTATTGTTATGTAACAATCCAAGTGCTCATGTTCTTTGGTATACCCAGAAGTAATTTACCTCACTAACTACTACCCTGAACTATCATACTATCAAATATTCCATATATTCAATTACCATAGTTATCTAGCAATGAAATAAAGGAAATTTATATTGAACGTATGGTCCCCTTTTCTAAAATAATCATTAAGAAATAATAAACGACATTTTTTCTGACAAATATTGGTCGTGGTCCCCTTTTGTTACTCAGCTTTGTATCAAATATTGTTTCAAATGCTTCTGTGTCTGGCTCCGGATTTACTATATAAATAAGATATGTGACGCTGTTCGGTGCGGTGTCATGTTATTTACAGCAAAAGTAATGAAACAAACACAACTGTTATTGTTGAAAATGTATGTATCCGATTAATATTCTTAACCGCATTAATTAAACATGCTCATTATAAATATATATTATATACTACAACTTATTATGCCAATAAACAAAAAATAATCAATTTGAGACTTCTTACAAGCTTGAGACTGAGACAGAGGACTTCCTAATATCCAATGAATTAGTCAAATTTTGAATGATCTGATGAGTTTAATGTATAAGATTCATTATCCAAGTACCTTATGTGTAAGATCCACTAACTAAATATTTTTACGTGCAAGACCCAAGTACTTTGATGTGGAAGATCCATTATTCAAGTACCTTGATATATAAAATTCATTACCCGAGTATCTTGATACGTAAGACTCACTACTTAAGTACTCCATGTGTAATATCCAAGTACCATGGGAGACCTACTACCTAAATACCTTTACATGCAAGACCCGTTACCAAGTACTTGATAGTCAAGATTCACTACCTAAAATAATTATTATTGGATTTATAAGTAAACATATCACATAACAAAATATCTTATTTTAACTTTTAGGACTCTTTGTTAGTGTAGTAATAAAATGGTATGAAAAATGATATATAGCATAACTAAATTGCAAACATGTAATGCCCATATAAAATGGTAAGAGTCAGATCAATGACAGATTTATCTTTTTACTGCAATTTTTTTATCATAAAATGTCATCATTTTCATTTTTTTTAGTTTAATTTCTATACATTGTCCCTAAAAAAAATCACTGTTAACCAACAAAAATATCAACTTAACTATGACTTTTAAAATAAATTTTGTCAAATTTAATATTATTTTCAAGACCTGTCAATTTGTAATGCGATAAAAATGAAAAAATCTCGTAGTATGGACTATATATCCTTTTTATATTTAAATTTTCCCAGTTGATGTGGCTCATAAGATATGAATACTGTAGCCTTCATCTTTCACGGAGAAAACGAAAATATGAATAAATCGCGTTTTGTTTTTATACATTTGGATGACAACATATTTTTGGTTATGTAGTTTGTACAGTTTGAGGTTTTGTTCATGGATCTCAACTCATGTAGTGATAGGCCTTGTCCCGACAACAAAGTATGGCGAGGTTCTTATTTGCATCCACCATTTTTTCTTTTTTTTTACTTTCCACACCGCCTTTAACTTTTTCATAAATTGTTGACACCTAAACTATTATTTCATTCACACTCCTTTTTCCAAAATACCTTTCTCCTTCCCTCCCACCTAATTTTCTTTTTTAGTTTTTCCACACCTTCATTTTCTTCTTCCTTACCTTTATTTATTGCTCTCAACTCTTCTTCTTCTTCGTTATCTTAATTGAGTTGTATCTCTCATACCTGCATTCTTTTTTCTCGATAGTATTGTATAATTTTTTTTCATGTTTCCAGCTCAATAAAGACTAATTTATGTAGTACATAATATAAACTAGTTTATATTCATAACAGTTAACTTTTTTTATATGATGCAAATAAATATGATATGACATATAGATGAGTTACTATATATACTAATAACGTTTCTTCGAAGAAAGTATCTCAATGACTAATAAAAAGTAAACCAAACAAGACTTGTTGTTTCATCTTATAGAATAACAATGGCACTATAAGAGCACTTCTTGGCATACATACCAATTGAAGCAAAATAGTTGATAAATCAAGTTATCTTTACAGTGATCTGCTATAGTTTAGATAATTCGTATATTTACTAATAAAAACTTCTGAACTTTGAAATGAAGATTGATATAAAGAGGCTAACTGTGTCACCTTAGTATTAACATAAACAAGATAAATGATTTTTTATAGATTTTTGTAAAGAATTTGCAAGTATTTAAGATGAACTCAATTTAATAATCTGTAAGATTTCAATACAAATTTTATCATAACTCTTAATGTACTCAAATCTTAATTTCTCATTGAAAAGAACCTATAAACCCTAAATTTAAAGCACTAGTCTCTAAATTCCTTTTAAACATACAATTTATCAAAATTAATTTATGAAAAAGGATGAACAAGTGCTTTTGGTCCGGAGGCCGGAGGAGACTGCAAAGTGGTAATCACTTTTAGTTGTGAGTAAATTGAAATTAAAAAAAAAAAAAAGCGTTAATAATTGCATGGCACTTTATAACGAACAAAAAGTGGGTTTGAAAAAGCGTTGGATTGAAGGAAGGGATGGCGGGAATAGGGATCCCTGAAGGTCAATCTATGCATAATAATATGAATACTCTTCGTGATGTGATGAGTTGGATGGTTCAAATTTTGTTCCCACCCTTTCCCCATTCTTGAACGTGAAAAGAGAAGTGTTGGTGGTGGTATAATGTTAATATTACATCTTTGTAAATGTGGTGGTCAATGGTCAATGGTCAAAGAGGCAACATAGTTTGTTTTACACGTGAGGTGTTGATTATATATTCAACAATAATGATGTGTATAGAAAGCTTTTCTCCCTTTGGTGAAGAAAGGAAGATTGTAGAGACGGCTTTTTGTTTTGGACAGTAATGCTATAATAACTTTATACCTGGCTTATGGTGAGTGAGAATGAAAAGGTGTTAACGTGGATAATGAGAGACAGAGACAGTGATGTGGTATAAGTCTGAAATCTCCAACCAAGTCACTTCTTTTAATGAGGAGATAATGGCATTATCTGTCTAAGATCACACAAAGTGAGTCTTTGATGCTGTTGGTGTCCCTCCCACTATCAAAAAAGAAGATACAAACAAGGTACAGTAACTTGAAAGAGAAAAGACCAACATCAACATATGCTGTGCATGCCTCATTCACCCCTCCCAAGTCAAAACTATAGTCTTCGACTTGGACCCATTAACATAACACACATTAAAAGACGAGTATTTCATTTCCAGTCGCCTTTCACATAAAAGTAGCTACCAATCTTTCTATTCACTTTCTTCCTTCCTACCTAGTGCCATTACTTTTTTATGTCCAATAACAAAGGTTACTATGATGCTTCCAGTTAACTAATCGAACATCGTGCTTCACTAAACAGAAACTAATTTATCTTTATCATTTATTACTTCCTCCTTTCAATTGCATTATTAATATTCCTCGCTGCTTTGTGTCGCAGATAATTTTTTCTAGTAATACAAAACAAAGAAATGAACAATTATTCTCCTTCTTTGAAATCACACCATCCACCACCGAATCTAAAGTATGAAATTATTCTTTTTATTTTCAAATACATGCAGTCAAGAGGAAGACAACAATTTAGTTTAAACGACCAGGATCGCCACAAACATTCTTTCTATTCATATTTCTCTATTATAATGCTATAAGCATAAACTCTATTATTTCAACATTAGATAATCAATACCCTATTTGATATCACACGTTATTTTTATCTTTAACGTATTTTCTTTCCTATACATACATTTCAGCAATACTCCTTTAAAATTAAAAAAAATTACAAAAGATATCTCACTTTAAATGCAAATATATATTTTCCTTATTAGAATATCAAATAGTGTTTATAGTCTTTGACCTAACTAAGTATTTTGATCATAAAATTATTTATATACTTGTATAATTAGAGGCCTAGGGAATCACTAATTTGTTTGTATAATATTATTTAAAAAAAGAGTAACGATATTTACACGTAAGACTACATTGCTAGTTGCGTGTGAAAAGTCACAAACTAAGAGGCAGCGTCCAATATCCATTTACGGGCATTATAAAATTCCCCATATATTTGTGATTCCGTTCCAAAAGCATAATTGCATTAAAGAAGAGGAAGATTTGGTCTCTATTGCATGTTTTTGTCAATAGTATTACTGTTTGGCACACTTTGACTACAAATAGAACCATCGATTGGTGTCAGCCGGTGTGAGGGGCGAGGGTCTCAAATCTCTACTCAAGTCAAGTCTCTCTCTACCAACTCTCAGGGTTGCTACTTCATGGAGACGAGCTTGAAGATGCTTTTTCATGTTCTTGCCATTTTTATTCTCCTATCAGACCCTTTTGCTGTTGTAAATGCAAACTCTGAAGGTAAGACACCCATTTGTGTGTGTGTGTGTGTGTGTGTATATATATATATATATATATATATATATCCAGCCATTCATTCTGAAGAATCTTGTCACTATAGTATTTTCTGCTTTATTGAACTTGAAAACGAACAGGTGATGCTCTGTTCGCGTTCAGAAGAGCTGTCAAAGACCCAAACAACGTTCTACAAAGCTGGGATCCAACTTTGGTGGATCCATGTACATGGTTCCATGTTACCTGTGATGATGATAAGCGAGTTACCCGAGTGTAATTAACTCCATCTTATCCTTTCAGTTTCTCACTTTTTTTATTGTGAATGTTAACTAAAAATACTAGGGTGTATTTTTTTATTGCTGCTATTATATATAAGGAAAGTTTGTCTGATACCCATAATCACGATAAATTATCATGAAAAGAACCTGTAACATGTTTATTAGATTAGCGTTAATTATTTCATTGGGTTGGGTTAGGTCTGATAATTGTATACCATGCAGAGACCTCGGAAACGCAAAACTGTCTGGCCATTTGGTTCCAGAGCTAGGGTGGCTCCAGCGCCTTCAGTTTCTGTAAGCGCCGTGGCGAAGTTTGTAGTTATCTATTTCTGCGACAGACATCACTAAATATAAAATGAGGGTTTATTTCTCTAGATGATTAATAGAATGATGAATAATAGATTTTAGTATATGGTATGCAAAGAGAGAACGTAAGATTTGGTTTGCCCTTGTGCAGAGAACTGTACAAGAATGATTTGATGGGTCCAATACCAAAGGAACTTGGAGACCTCAAGAACCTGGTTAGCTTGGGTCTCTACCAGAATAACCTCACTGGCTCCATTCCCTCCAGCTTGTCCAACCTCTCCAGCATCAAATTCTTGTAAGTAAATTAAAAAAAAATATAGTGAGTGAACCATTCACCAAGCCTAAGCCTAGGCCTTTTATGTACATATTTACAGGCGACTCAACAGCAACAAGCTCACTGGAAGAATACCGAGGGAACTCACTAAGTTGAGAAACCTCAAGATTTTGTGAGCCCATCTGTCCTACACTTTTCAATATCACACCTCTCTTCATTCTTCTCCATCAATTCTAATTTCTCGAGTTTAAATTCACTTTTCTTGTTATGCAGAGACCTGTCAAACAACGATCTATGTGGTACTTTCCCGACATTCGGCTCCTTCTCTAAGTTCTCTGAACAAAGGTGAGTCCATCTAAAACTTATTCAGTATTTGCAGACATTGACTTTGCTACTATTTGACAAATTAATATTAATACTTGCAGAAATTTTCTGTCACAGATTCTGTACATAGGTTTAAGCGGCTAGATCTGGAGACTGTGATAACAAAAACAAAAACAACAATAATAATAATAATAATAACAATAATAATAAAAAAATAATAATAATAATAATATAATCTAGATCAGTTGTTCTCAAACGCAGTCATAACAACAGTTGTGTTCATTTGGTGACAAAAAATTAAATTAATACCATCAAAATAAGAAAATGGTGTTTATAATTTACTTTTATCTTTTCAAAGGTGTTCTTTTGTAGAACTTAGCTATTACTACCATGCTTCTGTACAGTAATGACAAAGGCATTCCTCCGTTATTATTTCATGCTTCTCTTCACGATCCATACTCAAGTAGCTGATTCTTTATATTCCTGCAGTTTCAAGAATAATACAAGACTCGAAGGACCAGAATTGATGGGATTCGTCAGATATGATACTGGAGAAAGCTGCAAATGAAAGATAATATCTACCAAATAACGAGTAGGAAGAAGCCAATCTCGTGCAAACAGCGTATCATGGGAAACGCCTATTTTCCTTGCATCCGTTAGTACTTGTATCAATTTACCAATATTATGCATTGCATTCCTATTAGGACCTCGGCAATCCTTTTCTTGGTTTCCAAATCTGTACAGCTAGTACGGATGGCTTGGATGTCTATTTGTAATATATAGATAGATATAGATTAATGACGATGAAAATGACAGAAGACAGTTAAATGTAGGTATTTGGATTTTGCTTACAAGTTCTAACTAAACAAAATCACACCCAATAAGTCCAGAACGAGGGTGTACCCATTTGACTGATCCAAATTAATTCTACCAGTCCATAGAAAATGCCACGGCACCTAGCCACAATTACTAGCAGTTTCTTGAGTGGTTCAACGCCTTCAAGAGTATAAGTGCAAGACGGTCCACGTCATTTCTACTTTATTCGATGGTTATTGCACTCTGAACTTTTCATTAACGATATGGTGATCCAAAAACAAAGCATGGAAGTTGCGCTACATTTACATAAACTCAATTCACTCTCTTTTCATCCAGCTCCAACAGGTTGTAGATAAATCAAAAGCATGATTTTTGAATGCAAATCCAAAGAATTCTGCGAGAATTGACTTGATGTGATCTTAAAAAAGTTTAGTTAGGAAAACATGATAGCAAATTTCAATTACTGAAAGTTACACAGTTTAATTAGACAATTGGATCATTCATACAGGGGGGGTTGATTTGGTTACTATCAATTGCTTAAATGCATATTTCGACAATAAAGCCGATGGACATTTATTGTAAAAAAAAAATTAAAAAAAAAAAATAACCCATAAGGTTGAATTAACAATGATGATGACAGAAAAAAAGAATTATAGGTAAAACGAATATATACAACTTTGCAACTAACCAAAATTTGACCTAAGCTTTCTTGGCCCTAAGCTTAATTTGCCAGGCCGTAAACAGCCTAACTTCAGACGTGAGTAGAATTAGTCTGCATAAGTATCCCTTGACCATACCTGGGTTCATCGCATAACATTAGTCAAAACATGTACATCCCTACATCCCTGAAAAACAGAAAGTGAACATTATTAAATCATATATAAGTTAAACCAAAATTTCTCACAGTATTGGTAATAGGAACTAAGAACATCAATAACGCAATTTCTAAATCTTTAAATGGTGAACACAATTAGTTTAGAACTGAAAATTCTCCTATGATAAAAAAATAAAAATGGCCCATCATGTCCTAAATTCTGTAGTCCATCAATTATAAACATCTACACCTATTGGACATACATGTTATTTTTCAAAACAGATGAAAAAAATGGATATAAAAATATGACTAGAAATTTTAAAGTAAAAGTACATAGTAAAACGTCAAGTCCATTTAAAATTAGATGCTTGCACCAAAAATATTCTTAATGCCAATGTGCATTTCTAGTAGAAAGTAATTGTAAGGTCACATAGTTTATTTTGTCATAATATGCAAAACTATTCCAAAAGTTTACACGCTTAGATACATAAATAATTTCATAACACATCCCCTCACACAAGTGCCTTTTGGGCTTGAGGCATGAATAGGTCCCACATGTCTTGTGTTAAATTCAACACTTTATTAGAATTATGAGAGTGGCTGAGAGCGAATTCTAGATCACTTGGTCAGTGAAAGTTCGAAAGAATAATACATGTTGAAATTATAGAGATTTAGGTATTGCAGGAGGAAAAGGAGAGATTAAAAAATATTATGAAATCAGTACTGATTTCATATTATATGAAATATCATGTTAAAAATTACAATACATAAAGCACCAACCCTGATATATCCTAGTATTTTATCATAATCCTAATTTATAAAGACTTGAGAGATATAACATACTATAAATTACTCTGAAGATACAATCAAAATAATATTGGATATTCGTCATTTAACAACTTTATTCCACTGGGTGGGTATTGGATATCTTTCATATATTCTAAGAACTTGAAGATAGAACTTGCTCAATAATAGGTGTCCTATACCAATGGCACTTAAGTTCTAGATATTATAGAATTAGGTACTAACCTTTATCTCCATTTTATCCCATTCCAAAGCAGGCAAATTGAAACGAAGGTTTTGCCATTTATATATGTAGTTTCGACACTTCATACATTATCTCAAATTCATAATTAAAAAAAAAATGTTCAAATAAATCTAGGAAAACAAACTAATAGAAAATAAGAAGAAAAAAGTAAACAAAACAGCTCTTGTTTAAAAATTACCTCTGGTCTATGACATCCAGACAACAGCCTCAGCAATCCGATGATGGCTGACTAGTAGATAACGCTATTGGCATCAGAGGAGGAGAATAAATATTCTCAGATACAGACGACCTATGAGAAGAATCTAGTGTTCTAGGCACATGTAGTGCTGCTACTCTAGTGCCACTAGAAGGTATGGAGAAACTACGAGCAATAGCCTGAGGTGGGATTGGCAATGGAGATGCAGCACTTGATGCAACCAAACTATTTGCAGAGGAAGCCTTTTGGCCTCTAGACACCAATGGACCAGAATAACCAACCAAACCTAAAAGCCTTGAATTGGATGGGAAACTGGTTGGAGGCCTAGGAAGTTCATGAAGCTCACTTATTTTGGGTGAAGACCTAAGAGTGGGAGAAGTACTGCGAGATACATTAGGAGATGATGATCGAGGCTGAGGGATTTGAGTTGGCAAAAGAGGTCCAGAGAACAGGTGAACACTTTCTACCAAGACTGGCTTGGTTGGGCCGGGATTACTTGTCAATGGGCCAGAAAAGGCATGTCTTTTAATCTTTTTAGAGTAAGCAGAAATGTAATCATAGTTTGAGGATAAAAGACTATCTCCCAGAGGAAGCGGCAATCTCGTGGAGCCAGTATTGCTGTTACTTTCCTTGAGTACTGACTGTGCACTTCTGACAAAAGAACCAGAAAATTCATCTCCAATATGTTTTTCAGGTTTCTTTTGTTCCAATGGGGATGAATGCCACATGTTCTTTGTAGGTTCACTTAAATTTACCTGCATTTTGGAAGGCTTTGGATTATTTGACCCGGAGGAGGTTGAACTCTTAGCATCAACTGGTGTGGGTAACACATATGAACTAAATTTCCGTGATAAAGATGGGCGCATCTGTCTCAGTTTTTCACTAGCATCAGGTTTATTGTCAGCAAAAAGCGGGGCAGATTGGCTCCCCGTCCTAACCCTAAAGGAAAACAAATTCCTTTGAAGTTTATCTAAGTTTTCCTGCAAACAGAGCAAAAGATATTCATTATGTATGCTCTTCCATACTTTAAATTTTATAGGCAAAAGAAAATTGATGCTAATAGATGTCCTTTTACATTTGCAGCTTCAGCTGTAGAACCTCTAGGAAGTGCAAGTTCCACCTGATCCAGCTGAAAAGATGCAACCAGAGTTAAGTAGCATGTCATCAAGATGAATAATAACAGCTAATTGAAGTGTTTTATAAACTTGACATTAAAACTATATATTTTGAACCAAAATCTTCATAATCAGAAGTTCATTGTTGAAAACTTGCATAGCATCACAGTTTACTTGAAGACGTTCTTTCTCCATCCATCCATCCATCCATCCATCTTACAACATTCTAATTAAACTATATTACTCGTGTGTACAGAGCAGTTAGTCACAATTAAATAAAGAAGGATGCAAAGCTTCTGAGCATTGGACTGTAAAACAACTTTGCCCACAACTCTAATCCTCCTGTTCTTTGGTTCCTAAAGGCCTGCCTACACAACATAATCTCCCGCCAGGAATTTATTCATTCACTAATTAATTTTGATTTCCCTCATTCTCTTTAGTATGCAGTAGGATTCAAACCCCTCAATCACCACCACATGAGTGCACAATCATTCACCTACTCAGTTTTGCCTGTTAGTACATGTAATTGCCCAACCTTCACTAGAAAACCAGCTCTAAAAAAACTCAAGAAACATAAAAGGGGAAGAAAAAGAATTGAAGATCCCAACTTAAGTAGTTACCTCCATTGAGTTTTGTGATGTAGAAACTTCTTGGTCTTGTTCTATTTGTCCATAGTCAAAACTTAGCTCCCCATCATCATAACCACCACCACCATCATCATCTCCATAATCACCTTCATACCCATCCTCCTCTTCAAGACCACTGAACTGGTAATCAATGTGCTGCTGTTCAGTTACAGATTTTACATGTGGTTCTACTGTCTCAAGGGACTTGACTGCTTTCTTGAAGAAACATAACTGTTTTAGGGCAAAAAAGAAAGCAATGGTAATCAACATAAAAATAAAAAGTAGGAATTTCCAATTCTTACAAGGAAATAGAGGCATATGCAGAACCTGAGAAGCATGGTGACGCGCTGCCTGTGTTAGAAGACTACGTGATTGTCCTTGCTTCAGAGATTTCAATCGGAAAACAAACAAAGTAGCCTCTTCATCATATTCATCATGAGCAGTTTGCAACTGCTGCAAAGAAAAAGTTCCTTCTTTCCCACCTTTAGACCTGCCTCCTTCTCTGTATCTTGTTACCATATACTCGTATAAGTCTCTGCAGATCATATAACACGATGACAAGACATATATCACTAACAGTCAAAGATAAAACCAGATCCAACAAAATATTTCAAACCTTTTCTCGTCACATTGCCGTTTCATCTCCTGGTCGAGTATCAAAACAGACACAAAAATGATGAAAATTACAGAAGGTCCTCCATGTAGAATATAAAATTAAATATATTTTTAGGTTATATAGCAATAAATCTGAAAATTGGAGAGTAATTGTGGGAAATCAAATAGTATTTTAGGAAAGAATAAATTAGGAAATTTGTAATCTGTACAGATTTGAACAATTAGGAACAATCCCAATCCCATTCATCAAGAGATCCTAAAATAACTTAGGTTTACTGTATATATATTATATGATCTCTTTGTATTAAAATAATAAAATAAGATTTCATTTAATCTAATTTTCCAAGAGTAATGTATAAGTAGGTTTGTGCATGTGTAATAGATAGAGATTAAAAAAGGTTAGAAACCTCAACAATTCGAAGTTCATTCAAGAGAGACTCTGATGGAATGGTAATTGTCTGGATTATATGAGAACGCTGGAATGGGAAATGGGAAAGAAAAGAGAGATGAAAACCAGAGAAAATAAGTAGGAAAGATAAAATGAAAATAGAGAGAAGATTAGGAAGTGACGTAGTCATCAATGAGTTCGTGGAGTTTGAACTGGATTTTGCCAAGCATGAGGAGAAGTTTTCCTGGAAGAATAGAATTGGGAAAGTGGTTAATGAAGAGATAAAATTAAAAGGGTGAAGAGGCTTGTGGAAGTGGAAGTGGAAGTAGATGTAGAGTACCAATTTCATCTCCGTGATCATTTAAAGCGATCTTCTCGAGAAGACAAGAGCCCATGTCCCGCAAGGACTCCGAGAATTCTGCAAGAAGAGCATAACAGATGATATGAAAAGAATGAATGAATGATATGTGTGGACGAAGATGATAAAGATATATATCAAATGTCCCAACCCTACCATAGGCACTGCTGGCGGTTGCTGCTGCGGCGGAAAGCAAGGTGTCATAGCAATCCCTCATATCCTGCATATCCTGAAGACAAATTCCAAATCTAATTCCAATAGCATCAATGAAAACCCTAAAACTTGTGTTGTATTGTATGGTATGATATATAGAAGAAATAGAAATGGAGAGAGAAATGAGAATGAGAAGTCATGCCTTCGTAGCCCGAGCGAGCTCGTCAAGCTGGCCAAGAGGCTGGATGGACTTGGAAGAGGCATGCTTGTGATTGTGAAGTGCCAGACCTCGCAATTTTTTCAGAGAGTTCTTCATCGATGTCTTCCAAATGTTTCTTCTCCTCTCTGCTATTAATTTTTGCTTTGTTTCTTTGCAATCAACCACAGATCAGAGTGAAGATGGCAAAAGGAAATCACCAACAACAACATCTACAACAACAAGGAGATGGTCAAATCCCCATCCCCATCAGACCATTTCTTTCTTCAACCGCTTCCTCTGCTTACGCCAACAACTCCTCCCACGCAAATTCCACCACCCCAACCTTTCATTGTTTTCATTATTATTGTTATTATTATATACTTTTATTCACTCTTACTATTATATTATGTTATCATTCAATTATTATATTATAAAACTGATAACCCAAAATGCTTTCATTCACTGGTCAAAAGTCAAAGCAACACTTCCTACACATACAATTTTTTGTTTTTTTCTTCAAACAAGAAACAATAAAAAAAATCACACCGTACTAAACGATATTCAATTTTTACTTCTAAAATAATAGGAAAACTATTTTTTTTAATTATGTTCTTTAATTAAAACTAATACATGTTTTCTAAAAATAAAATATAGTTCGTATGGGAAAAATATAAAAAGGGAATACCTCGACATTTAAAACTTATAAGAATTCATCACAACTTGACTGAATTTGATACTAAAATTTGCTTTGTAAATTGGAGTGCAATTCATACATGTGAACATAATTTGCCACATGAACAGGTAACTAGTATCTAACTTTGAAGAAGAAAATTATCAATTATTATTGTGAAGAATCGAGTCAATAATTCCACATCATGAACATAATTGGTGTCATGCACAAGTGACATATGCTGCAACATTTTATTGTGTTTTTTATGCGTGTTTAATTGATAATGAACTTGAAATGCCTTTAGGTTCAAGGTTTACAAATGATTTTAGTTAGCCACTAATTAGGGAGAACCTTGGAAGAAGAAATAACACAGACATCGGGATCTAATACTATTTATCTTTCTTCCATCTTCTCTATTGTAATGGTTCTTACTTCATCTTTAGTTTGGATTTTCATATGTTTGAGCTCAAATTTTTTTTTTCAACAAGTAGACCTTAAACCTTAATTAACTAATAGATCTTTAATTAAATTGTCTTTATACTTATATTTATTTTTTAAAAATGTAAGGTGTTTTACTATCATTTAACATAATTATAATCACTTACTAAGAATTAAGCTATCAACTTACTCGTTAGAATCATAGAAAAAGAACATAGGTTTGAAATCATGATAAGAGTGTATTCGATTTTTCAAGGAAATAATGAAGTTATCAGGAAAGTATGAGTAAATTTAATTAGTAAATCATCAATCTGATCCTTGAAGTACAAATTGCTTTTCTCCTATTTAATAATTCTATGAATAAAGTTGATATTGGTTACCTAATCACAGATGAGTATTTATGAATTTCTTGACTAATTTTTTTTATAAAAGAATAAGTGAATTAAGTCATTTTAAATTTGTACAATATTAACACGAGTTTTTAAATAATGTCTTATATTAATTAGATCAAACGATATCTTAAGTCTAAACATGATACACAATAATTTTCATAACTTCCAATTTTATAAACAAATAGATCACCAAATTTATAAGCCGAAGATTCAATATTTTTAAAATAACCTCTTTGGATCTCATTGCAACATGATTTAGCCAAATTCCATATTTGACATGAAAATATATAAATGGGATGCAATATCTTTCCATGCTAATTTCTAATCATTTACTTTGATTATTCTGATACGTTGGGTCATGCCCAAATTTGTAAAACAAATAAAAAAAATAACTTTTGTTTTTCATTGTCATTATGTAAAACAAAATTGAAAATAGAACATTTTTTTTTACGAAAACTTCAAACAAGAAGTTATGGTAAATAAGAAAAAAAATTGTAAAATTAAGAAAATAAAACAAGTTCGACTCATTTAATTTTTGGGTTAAATAGGTTCAAGTCAAATTACTGGGTTGATATATTTTTTTTTCTAAACTTCAATAGTCTAATTTTTTCTATCTCTGTTTATGCAAGTCAATGAAAAAAAAATCTTTAATAAATTAATTCATCTAACTTATATTAATAAATCAACTTACATATTTTAATAATTTTAAAAAATTAAAAAAATACATATTTAAGTAAATCAGTCCTCCTAATCCATCATATCAAGTCAAATTGTATAATTTTTATTCATTAGAAAAATAACCAAATTACCTAACCAATTTTTAACATAATCCATAATAAACAAATCTTGGCTCACTTTAATACCTCTACCATCCATCAGCACATTGTTCACGGTGAAAAATTTCTAAGGATAAAAGATGAACTCATTTGTGCAATGGATTCTGATAATTGGATTAGGTAAAATTCGTAAAGAAAGCAGCTATGTGTAAATGGAAAATGAAGGGTTCCAGTCTAATTTTCTTCTATTGACATTAACAGCAGCCAATAAGATTTCGTGATTAAGGTAGATCAAATACGGACCTCACATCAATATCAAGTATCTATAGTTTGCCGATGTAACTATAACAGTAAACGAAAATGAATCAAAACAGTCCGCTGGATAGAATAAGAAACTCAATGTGTTCAAAAAATTGACTACTTCGTTATTGCCAAACAGAAACCCAAAAACACAGACGATTTTCCCGCCGTGTCATTTGTTTTCCAAGTGTTATTAAGCATTAACTTCCTCACAGATATGCTGGCTGAGAAGGGGAAAAAATGTATAGCATCTGTGAGTCCTGAAAATTAGGAGTATACAACAGAATCTTTAAACCAAAGCCTAGCATAACCCACGAGGTAAAACCAGCATCTTTGGTTTCAATTTCTTCTTGCTGTTTTATGGTGGAAATTGGGGAAAAATTGTTTTGGTACATCGAGGATTACCAAAGAACTAATCAGGACATGGAAATTTCTAGAACTTTCAAGCAGCTGCAGCCAAAGGCACAGATCTATGGCATGCTCGCTTTGCAGCACGAACAATATCTTCAATCTGTACATCCACATTTACCAGGAAACAATCAGATTTAAATTATCTACAGACATATACCAAAACCTTTTAACAAATTAGCATCTAGCTTTTAATCGAGTACAGAACACGTGTCATACCAAACCATCGTGTCCATTCAAGATAGAAATACATTTATGGATCCAAATATAATAAATCTTCCAAAACAAGTTGAAAAATTCAGAGAAAACAATTAATATTCTAGAATCATTACCTGGGGGACAGCCATTCTCTCCAGATTAGCTGCATAAGGCATAGGAACATCAGCCCCAGCAATTCTCTCAACCGGCGCGTCAAGGTAACCAAAGCTCTCCTCAATGACAGAGGTGCTGCTCAAAAGAAGTACACACATGATTTCCAAGAGTTGGCCAGAAAGATATAAAGAAAGTCAGTGTGAAGAGACTAACCAGATTTCAGCCCCAACACCATGTTGAGGAAACCCTTCTTCGACTGTCACCAGCCTGTTGGTTTTCCTCACTGAAGTATTGATTGTGGCTCGATCAAGCGGTCGAATTGAACGCAAATTAATAACCTGTGTGGATAAAAACATGACTTACCATTATCATAACCCAAATGAAGTTCTGCAGAAAGAGGGGAGAGTTCATTATAAACTATTGCAAATCTCACCTCAGCACTGATTCCTTCCTTAGCCAGTGTCTCAGCAGCCTAAACACCAAGAAGAGATATTTAACCATGTTGTCTACTTTGTTAGTACAGAAGGGATGGGAGATTTTTACCTTTTTAAAAATAAATTATAACATGCCACATAAGACACTGAACATTCCAGAAAAGAAATAAATATTATCATTGATTCTTGTCTTATTATTAAATGTATTGGAAAACTATATCTTTCTGACCAATTGAACAAACAAGTAAACAACATATTATACATATCTAAAATACAAAAGGATCTCACGGTAACAAACCTTGAGAGCATAGCCAACCATTTTTGAATAGGCTGTAATAGTCACATCTTTTCCTTCCCTCTCAATCTGGTAAAATGCATGAAGTAAACGAAGGATTCAATAAGAACGCATTATTGGGCGGTAAATAACTAAATATGGCTCTAGAAAACAAGGATTCATATACTATATATTTAACTACCTTTGCTTTTCCTATGGGAAGGCAAAAACTGGAATCAAGAGCTTCAGCCGAAACAGGGAACGACTCACCATATCTAGGGAACATAATTCACAAATTATATAATTTTTAGAACAATAACTGATGTCAAAACTATAGCAGCTCACTTTCATGTACAAATCAAGTAACACAAGTTTCTGCTTGGGGGGGGAGAGTAGGGAATCAAGTAGCACAACTTACAACAACTCATTCTCAAGGAAAACAACAGGATCAGGGTCCCTTATAGCAGCTTTAAGCAAACCGCGTGCATCTTCAGATGAATAGGGCGTCAAGACTTTCAAACCAGGGCATGAAGCATACCAAGATGCATAACACTGCACAAAAGCAAAGTTGTAGTATACACAGATGAAACCTAACATATTCACCACTTCTCCATAGCTTGAAAGCAGAGTAAAATTCAATACAGAACTTAAACAAATACTTGAAGAAAGTTTGTACACAAAAGAAAGGAGCTCTGGGTACCATACTTGAGAATGCTGGGCACCAACCCCAGCAGCAGCACCATTGGGTCCTCTGAAGACAATAGGTACAGATATTTGCCCCGCAGACATGTAATTGGATTTTGCAGCAGAATTAATAATATGGTCTATTGCCTGCAGCAAAAGTTAAAATACAATGAGTGGGTTAGAATTAAATATTTATTCAGCAAACTAATAAACCAAGATGCTGCAGATGCATACCAGACGAAGGAGGCCAAAAATTAAACATCATTACACATGTTGACACAATATTCTTCACATTTTATTAGTACTTCAATATTCAACATTAAGATTGCAAAAATAAGGGCCTACTTAGAGAGGAAAGTGTTGACAAGTAACCAAATTGCAGAAAGAAGGCCTGGTATCTAACACACTAAATTGATTTGTATGGCATTGATGTGATGTTCAACTATTAGTTAAATACTAAAGAATTACTTGATTTTTACAGTCACGTATGATAGGCAATCATAACAATAAACTCAATCCCTCCTTGAATATAGAGATCAGCAACTTGGCCCAAATCCTTAGCTTTATATCTTTAGCAGGGTAGTCAAACACAGAATTTCAAAAGTATTTAATTTGTCATCACTGCAATGCACAGAGCACCAATTCAGGTTTTTGATAGAGCAGCAATCACAAGCCCAAAACATGTCAAATCCTGACCACTATTGGTGATTTGTCATGTGCCCCACCGATTTATGTTGTCATATCTATGATGCATCCCCATCTAGCTTGATCTTCAACATTTTTTTCTGGTCAAAGGACCCAACAGTATGCCATTTACCAGCATGCATTGTTTTCCACATCACCAACTCCTCTCTAGTTTGAGGTTCACCATTTTCCATTATTTGCCGTTATTTTCCAGCAACCTGTTGGTGTTCTTCACAATAACTCCCATTTCTGCCACCTCTGCACTCTTGGACACCTCCTCAGTTTTGTTACGTTGCTATCTCCTTTTTGTGTTGAGTAGTTTACACTTCAAAACCCACATGGTGAAATCCCTACAACTCCTTAGAGGCTCAAACTTGTTGAGGTTTTGTGTTGTACTCTTTCAATCCTTATGATCCTTTCTTGTCACTAACTATTAATTATGCCTAATATTTTACATTCTTGATGAATGTATATCATTACGACTTTTAATTATCAATGATGAATATGTTTTATACAGAGTAATTATTGGCTTTTGAGCACTTATATGTCTACTATAAATTAATTATATCATTTGTCTTATATACACTAGTGGATGTCCATATTTTTTATATTATGAATTTATTTTAAAATATTTTCAATTTTTTTCCCTTCATTCTTTAAATGTAGCCATTTTCTTTTTTCATTCATTATACTATATCACAATTTTTACTCTCTCTCCTCTTTCTTTTAATTTTTTAAATGTATAAATCATAATTATTTTGCCTATATTATCTCTCTTATGTAAATCATAATATATTATTTCTATGACACTTTTTTCTCTCTTCCCTTTATATGAAGTATAGATAAAATTCTGTACAGTTCATTTTGCCCTTCTGCCAAGCATTTCTGGGACTAGCTAGGCACACCTATATCCTGATTATCAAACACAGTCTCTCAGGGAAGGGAAGGGAAGGGAAGTCAACATATTTCCTTGTGGAATCAATCATCATGTATTGAAAAACTCAAAACTCTTGTATTCCTATCACTAAAGACAAAACTCATACAATGTCATCTAATTATCTTCATGGACTGCCAGGTATACATAACATTATACATACAAATAAATTAAGCGCTGCTTCTGTAAGAAAAGTAAGCTTAACTCCACACTCAGTTCAACAAGTAAGGATGCAATAAAGATAAACTCCAACCTGCATGGAGAAGTTAAAAGTCATAAACTCCACAACAGGCCTCAGACCATAGTACGCAGCACCAACTCCAATCCCAGCAAACCCAGCCTGTATTGTATTTCACAAAAATATTATGTCAATCCAAGACAAGCAACTAATTATGAATAAATCCTGTTCTTTTTTTTTAAGGAATAATCGGTTAAGTTCAATTCATAAAAGTCCGTCTGTTAATCTAATTTTAAAGATGGAGAATACACCACACATGGTATTGAAAAACATAATTCGAACATGGATATGAGAGCACATGTAAAAGTGAGAAGCTGAAAAGGTCAATTTTCATGTTCAATAAGCAATCTATTTCGGAGAGTTTGATGCAGCACAATGAAGAGCACAAAATCCAAAAATAATATCTCATCATGCCTAATTCCAAGGAAAGCATCCTAAAGCCATCATATTATTAAAGCTTCAATTTGTTTATTTTATTGGATGATTCCATTAATGACTCATTGAACGTATCAAAAGTTGAACTTTGGCAAGTTCAGAGAGAAATTTAGAAGTGGTTAGATGCCAAAATCCTACAAATTTCATTTGGAGAAGGTTCAAGGTGAAACAAATGTGCTTGGGTTAGCCATGCCAATCAACATCTTGCTAGTTCAGAAAATGAAGAATATCAACAGATAATAATAAAGAGTCTGGTTAAATGTGATAGTTTAAGTTCTTTTTTTTTTTTTCTTCTAATACAGGTTTTTAACTGAAAATTGCATACAATGAACTTTTCAACCCAAAAAATTGTTCTTTCTTGTTGTCCTATGATAATAATTACTACTAGGTCTAACAGACTAAAACTGGCAGAGGCTAGAGCCTTTATAAGTACCAAATGTGTACCAATTTGCAACCATTGTTACCTGAAAGTAAATCCAGTGAACAGAAGTAAAGAATGAAAGGGAGGGACGGAAGGAGATGGTAAATAAGTTGCAAAAAAATGGGTGGAATACAATGAAGTATGAAAGGAGATAGGAAATGTGCGCTAGGAAAATGACCTCAGTGATTGGTGTATCGAGAACCCTCTCAGGGCCATACTTCTCGAGCAGCCCCTTGGATATCTAAAATGAAAGAAGAAAGTTAAGAGATGAAAAGTAATAGTATCGAGTTGTTAAATCCAGATGTTGGCAAGACAACTAAACTGACCTTGTATGCACCCTGATATTCGCCAACCTGCAGTTAAAAAGAAGCAAAAATGAAGGAAAGAACATAAAAGAAGAATTGTAAAATGGAAAGAGAGAATAGAATAGAATACAAATGGATGACCTCTTCACCCATCAAGAAGACTTTGGGATCCGCTGACATTTCCTCATCGAGTGCGGAGTTGAGAGCCTCCCGGACATTGATCTGCAGCGAAAGACGCGAATAAGAGAAACGGCGAGATTTGTTGATATTTGATAAGAGATTAGATGAGAACAATAATACATACCTCTTTGGCGGCAGAAGAGAAATGTCTGATTGTGGAGAAGGCTGGGCGAATACTCTGAGTCTGCAAACAAAAGTGTGCGTTGTGTTCTGTACATTATATGAAGTCTGGGGAAATGCAATCGGAATCAGACAAAAGTCGTACCTTGTGCCTTACAACACCCCACATCTTGCTTCCTGGATCTTCAATCAAACAAACCAAAACTAGTAAGTCACAAAAGCCGTAATCCATCAACGAATTCCATCGTTTTAAATTAAAAAATTAATATATTAATAGGCAACATGCACAAGAACAAGATATAAACAAACAACATCTACAGTGGATACAAAAACCCTAGGACAAAGTAAGAGGCGTGCGTGCGGATTGAAACAAAGATCTGGAAGAAGATGAAGAATCCGCACCTGTAACTGTAGCTGGATCCGATCGCCACTAGCTTAACGATTTTCACACAAGACGTAGTATGAATGAATCAGACCAAACCAAACCAAACCAAACATCCACTGCCTTTCGCTTATTCACTATTATATAATTATTTATTAATGTTTTTTTTTATTATTATTTGTTATTATTCAAAATTATTTAAACATTGTAAAAATAAATTTAGAGCTATAACCTTTTAGGTGACCACACTGTGATGTTCTTCAATTTTAAATGGCAACATTTTTTCAAAACTTATTAACTGTCGTTTAACCCTCAGAAATTATATTTTAAAGTATTAATTAAAAAACTTAATCGGTTCGCATCATATCACAACGTGTATAAATACAAATTAATATCCTCGCTAACCACATGGGTCGACGCGAGGTTAGGTAGTACACGAGGCATGCACCATCTTCTTCGTCCCCCCACGCAACTCACCAACCCACTCCATAAACATCACTTGTAAACTTCAAATTAATGATTTAAACAAAATTCTCAATAATATATTTTTCTTATTAAAATAATTTATTTTTGTTTAATTTTTATTATTTCCATGTCTAATTGACACATTTATTATTGGATAAATATATTTATTGAGATTTTTTTACCTATAGTGTTATCATAATTACGCAAGACTAATAATACTGTGGGGACCTCAATGCACGAAAAAAATGAATGTTTATTTTAAAAAATAGTAATAGTTTAATTTTTTATTGGAAAATGAAAATTTATTTGTTAATCTTTGCACAAAAAATCGAGTAATTAACTAAATAATAATAGATTGATAATATTTATTTCTCAAATTAAGTTGATATAGTTTATTTAGCTTTTTTTGTTGAAAAAATTATTATTTACTTGGATTGAATTTACTTAGATTAAGACGTTATGATAATTAACATTATAACAAAAATTATGCAGGGGTAGGCTTACTAAAAAAATACAGTGAACTATGTGTTTTTAGTGTTTTATCTTTAGATATATTCAGTTTAGTTTATTATTATGTTAGAAGCAATTTTAGAGAATGAAAACAGTGACCGTGGTGTCAAGTGAAGAAAGAGAGTGTAGTGTATTTTTTATTTTTATTTTATTTGGAAATACTAATTAAAAGGAGAGTGTGATAGTAAAAGGAGAGTGTGGAAATAGAAATTGGCCCAGAAAATTGTTAAGAAAATGAAAGCCCAAAGCGAAATGACTTGGGTTGATCCCAATTGGAGATGAGAAAAAGGGGGAAGTGGTGGATGAGCAGCGGAAATAACAAATTGGAATCGAAAGAAGAGACTCGGAGAGATGGGAGGTGCATTGTGGGGGACGCGGGTGATGGAGATTGTGAAGAAGCATGACTCGGGAGGACTCGTTTGGAAGAGAATTAAACTCACCACCACTCGTAAAGCCAATGCTAAGAAGCGCCTCCTCCGCGTTTGGCAGGTTCCCATTTATCTCTATTTTGCTAATTTTTTAGGGTTTCATTTCTTCTTCTTTTCTCAAACACTTTTTTTTTCGTCTATTGGATTCCATTTCAAGAATGAAGCTGTCCTCAAGGCATGTTCTCAGCCATCTCCCTCCGCTTCTGCCACTGCCAACAAACCTTGAAAACACTTGTTTCTTGCCACTTTCAAGTACTCACTCTCTTTACAGCATATCCTGTGATGGAAGATTTTGGTACTTGTGGATGTTTGGTTGATCAGATTTAATTTTGAACTGCATGTGTTGTACGTTCAGGATGGAGATCCATTTTTATATTTTTGAAAATAGTAAAAGAAGACATAGAAGAGGCCAGAACCGTCTTCCATTCCAATCATAGTTTTCTTTTTCTTTTTGTTGAAATTCAATCTAGGTCTCTGAAATTTTTTGCAGACTGAGTCTTCGAAAAAACAAAAAAAATAGCTTGAGTTATGTTCTGTTCTGTTAATCATATGAATTCAAATAAAGTTAAATGCAATTTGAAACAGACAAGAGTCACCCCTTGTGCCGAAACAAACAACATCTAAGGGGAATTCAAAAACCCTAGGACTAAGTAAGAAGCGCGTGTGTTGATTGAAACAAAGATCTTGAAGAAGTAGTAGAAGAATCCGCCCCTGTAGCTGTTACTGAATCGATTACCGGTATGTTATGCACATCGATATCCTCGCAAACCACATGGTGGAGCGAGGTAGGTAGGTACACGAGGCCACCACCATCTGCTTCTTCCCCCTCCACGCAACTCCCCCCAACCACAATCCATTACCACATTCCATAACAACACTAGTTAACTTCAAGTTAATAATTAAAATACAATTCTTAATAATATATTTGTTTTTTCTTATTCAAATCGATTTGTTTCTTTTAAATGTAATGAATTAAGTAAGTCTCAATTATTATTTTATAAAATTCCTTTCAAATTTATTTATTAAATGCTATTTAAAATAGTGTACCGTCAAATTTTCTTTTGAAAAAGGTTCCGTTAAGTTTTTTGTCTTCATAATTTAGCTTCTTTTCATATTTTCTTGCGTAATTTTTCTTTTAAAGTTTAATTTTTTTATTTTTAATGTATTTTATTAAAACAATGTTAAAAGGTATAATCAAGACAACGTCATGTATCACTTCATGTCACCATTTTATTTTGATTTATTTTTTAAGGCATAAATGATAAACTAGTGTATTCAACTAGATTTCAAATTTTATATATTTTTTAAAAAAAGTCTAATGGTAATCCATCACGACTTTTAAACATTGAAAATAATTTTAAAAAACTAAAAACAAAAATATAGTATTCCATTGATATTTTCAGAATTTTGTTTAGGATAATAAAATCTGATGGTATTTGTTGAACAAATTAAATAATATCTAAAATTAAGAATTTTAGCAAACTAACAATTATTTAAAACCAATTACTATAATTTCAATATCTAATGGACAAATTAAATTTTAGGAAATGAGATTATTTGTTACACATTTTTAATACTATCCTCATCTTTTAAGAAGTAAAAGTATACAAGTTACATATGTAGGTTTCCTTTCTTAGCGTAATCATCTAATATATATTTTTTCATGAAAACATAGGTAGTGTTGAAGTCCGTTTTTCTTTGCCCTTTTACGTTGTTCATATTATTATTATTATTAACCTTTTGTATTATTTTGTTAGAAAATTTCATTTTCACTTATAGGTTGCGTGTAAGAATGATTTATGTCTAAAATCTAATCAATACATGACGAATAGAAGAGGGGTTTTGTTTTGGTTGAAATATTTGGTTTGGGCCTGGATTGAATTTGTGCTTGACAGGGGTAGTGGGGGTGGAGGTGTTTTGGGAATTGGGGTCATGTGCTTATGGATACTAAGCAAGGGTTCCCTCTTGTGGAAGTGAATTGTGGAAGGAGAAATAATTGGCTTAATCAGGTGATTGACCTAATCAGGTGAGGCTACTACCATTGGAGTGTGTGTGTGTGGGTCAGGTCATGTGTGGTCTACCCACGTGATTGACAAAAATGTTGTGTTCCTCTCTCCCTCCTTTATTTTCTTCGTGAAAATGAAACTTAATACAAAACGTGACGTGAACAACTCTAACACCCTTGTTTCATCATTCCAAACTACTCCCTTCGCCAATTAATTCTGTTTTATTTCATTACACACTTTTACAACTATGTTTTAACGATAACTACTATTTTACATGAATCAAAACATGGCCGATATGTAAAAGTTCTTAACAATAATCGACTTCCTACTTTAAAAGCTAGAGAGCTATAAAACATTTGTAAAAAAAAAGTATTTTGACACACAAAACCCATCAATGCAATTGATATTATAATAATGATTTTTTTTATTAAACCTTTTATTGATTGTTATATTAATAAAAATGAGTTGTAGAGGAAGTTGTTAATTTTGAAGATGTCAAAATATACTCCTCTAAAACATTCCAGTTACTAAAACTAAGATTAATGGTTTGTTTGTTTTCAACGACAGAAAAAGGAAAAGTGCCAAGATACGTGAATTTTAAGCATTTTTATCTAAAGATGGTCGAAATTAAAAAAAAATAAAAAATCTTCCTCTCTCGTGCGGGGAAAAAGAGAAAGTTGAATTTTCTAAATATCGATTATCAGTTTATTCATACTCGATTATGTTTGAAAATTTGTTATTTAATATATATTTTTTATTTTTTTTATTTTTTAATAATAAATAGTTAAAAATTATATTAAAATATATATTAAAATAATAAATAAATTTATTTTACTTTCTACTAATTTCTATTCTTTTTTTTAATTCAACCAATCTCATTTTCTTCTCTTTTTAACATTTTTTACTCTTTAAAATCCCCTCTTCGATCCAATCAAATCATAAATGATAAAATTAGAAAACAAAGCCATGCTTACATAATATATGACACCAATAAATTTGTCTTTATCATGATTTCAAACGTTAATTTCACAATTATATTTATAAAAACAAAAAATATATAATTTAAACAAGTCGCAAGACACTTTTAAGCCTAGATATGACACGCCCAAGCCAACCAAAAGACAACAATATAATTTTATGATTAGCAATCATTATTAATAAATATGAATATATATACATTTTTCTATTTAACAAACAAAAACTATTATTTAAAAATGCAAACAATTGCATTCATCTTATTAAACGATAACTTCTTATAGACAAGATTATTATTTTATTCGATATTATTCACTTTCTCCTTATTTCTTCAATTATCTCTAATATAAATTATCATATACTAAAAGAAAATTCAATGATCATCGTAACATTACATTTCTAATAGATGAAATAAACAGTTTTAGTTATTACTAAAAAATAAGGTTTGGTAGACCATTATTACATTTACACATACATGAATTGAAATATTGATTTTTCTTTCTTTAATAAATGCTATTACTATATTTTGTATATATCTTGCATTAGTTACTTTTATTATTTTGTGCAATAGTTTTTTATAATTACTTTTTAAAATGTTGTGAAGAAAAAAGAGAGAGAGAAAATGTGATTATCTTTAACGATAATAACGTGTTTTCCCGGAATCCATTTGGCAGGGTTTGTATGTCCCTATTGGTTACTTAGTTTTGGGTCTGAGAGACAAGGTTTATAGATTTGTTAGGTGGTAGTTTACTCTGCAAATTGCACAATTATTGGTATATGTAATTGATTTATCTGAAAGGTGAAAATTGGATGAGTAAGATGAGTAGTGTGGAAGGTTGAAGTGGACAGTGATGCATAGAAGATGAGGTGGACAAATTTAACCAAGAGGGAAACGTAGCTATCATGCTCTCTATGGCTCAAAAATCAGACGTGTTAAAACACTTGTGGAACTACGCTTATGTGAATGATTGCGTAGTGGGAAGTGTGATATGTTGGACAAGCAATTATCATATGTTTAGTAAGGTCAATATTGGTGATTTGGAAAATTGAAAAAATCAACTAGTGGAGAGAGCAGATATGCATAAGATACGCATACTTAGTGAAGGTGCAAATAATCCTTGGACTTTCAACCCTCCCTCCTCGGATCATTTGCTATTTAGTCAATAATAGGATGACAATTCCCCAAAATGTTGTGGAAAAGAAACCTCCGATAATATGATTTTTTATTTATTTATTTATTTAGTTGTAGCAGGTCATCAAGATCATAATAATAGCTATTGTATATGCCCTCAAAAAAAAAAATGACAATTAGATGGATCCGACATGACCATAATTTGATTTGTAAATTAATTAGTGCGATGCTCATCTGGCGAAGGTTATGTTCTTATTTTATGTTTGTTCTCCTGAAAATGGTATTTTATTTCTGGACATAAAAAAAAAAAAATATATATATATATATATATATTTTTTTTTCTTGTTTATGCTTTCCGTGGATCCTATCTCTTTTGCTCTGTGAAAGCACCTTCTTTGGAAGTGAAAATGAGAGGTTCTAGCTGAGCTAAGAGAAGCATTGCATGTGCATTTGCATGGTGGTGATGGGAATTAGAGAAGGAAGGAAAAAGAAGAACTGGATTACACACTAGTTGTAGTAGCATCCTCTCGAGACTTAGACTAGCCTTAGTGCCGATGAAAAAGAAAAGATAATTACAGGGAAAGATAACAAAAGAAAGAGGCAAAGCATAGGTTGATTTGAGATGAGATGGCTGTAAAAGAAAACAAGTAATAGTAGTTCTAGAATGAAGTGAAGGGTGTCAAGGTTTTCTTCTAAAGTAAGGGAAGATGCTGGAGCTACTGCTCTCTTCATGCTCATCTGATTCATGGGTGATTACACTGGCGGCAGAAGATGAGGAATCAGTCTTGTTCTGCGCCAAGAAGTCATAGAAAACCACCCTCGACTTCCTCACCTTTCTGTTATCCACTCTGCCTCTCAAACTCTCTATCTCCTTCTCCTCCCCGTTTCTACCACCACTCCTCCTCTTCAAAAATATGCGACACAGAACCCAATTTTCCATGGCAACTTCAACCACAGGGCTCTGCCTCGGCCTCTGCACACACACAAAAAAGCAAACAAACAAACAGACAAACAATATCATGAGTAATTGATGCAGTATGCTGATAATTGCTACTTAATTTGCTTGCTCTGAACCCAGACCTGAGACTGAGAGGAGGTGGGTGAGTTGAGGAGGCGGTATTCATGCATGATCCAATCAGTTCTGAATCCATGAGGTGGCTTTCCTCTGTAGAAAACAAGCGTCTTTTTCATCCCCACAACTTGGTTCCCTTTTGAAGCTACAATTTGTTTGTCCAACCCAGTGGCCTTCCAATAACCTGAATTGGTGGCTCTGTTGGAGCGGTTGCCGTTGGGATATTTGGCCTCTTTGGTGCTGAAGAAGTACCTCTCTTGCTCCAAATCACCTAAACGCACCATCCATAAGGCATTGCAATTAGACTTAATTAGTTAATTGGGAGGAAAGGAAAGAGAGAGAGGGGGGAAGAAGTGAATAATAGACACCTGGCAAATCCCAAGGATCAGACTTGCAAACATCAACCTCAGGAATGATGGAGGCTGGCAAAGGGCAGGAGTAGACCTTACGCTTTAAGTATTGCACAACCAATTCCTCGTCAGTTGGGTGGAAACGGAACCCGGGAGGCAATCTAAGCTCCCCATTCTTCACAAAATTCACTTTCTCCATTCCACCACACCCTACTTCTTCTCTACTTCTATCTATATATAATAGCAATAATAATACTTTAGTGTGTCTGATTGGACGAGAGCAGGCCAGTTGGGTGGGTGACAATTGAAGGCACTCGTGGGAGTTCTTATAAGTCCATTAAAGCGTAGAGGTAAATAAAGAAAGGGGCTGAAGAAGAAGAAGGAGAAGAAGGGGAAAGGAAAGAAGAAAAAGGAGGGAAAAGGGAGTTATTATTATTGGATAAAGAAAGCAAAAGGGTATGGAGTAGGATGCAGTGTGGCTTCTTTTATAGTAATGGGTCTGACAGGAAGGAAGGAGAAGAATAAGACGACACATTTTGCGTAAACCAGACTCAACCTTTCTTTTACTTTGACGTTATATTAACTATGGTTTAGGGTTTTCTAATTTTTTTTATTATTATTATTATTTTGGTTTGTTTGTGTGAAAACTTGTTCGTTCATACCAGACCAGACCAAACCAAACTAACTGCTGCTAATGACAAAACAAAGCCTAGTTCCGGTCCAACTCTCGTTCCTTGTGTTGTGGTTGCAACTTGGAATTAGATTGGAGGAGGATTCTGTTGGGTTTATCCAAACAAACCAATTCTCTGATCCTTCCTTGGATAAAACAAAACATGATCTCTCCATCTATGTTTGTAACAATTGGTCTTGAGTTCACTAAATTTGATTTGGGTTGGTTTTAATATTATCCTAAAGTGAACAAGTTTAGAAATAAAAAAGAAAATGTTTTGTATATCGGACATGATGATCCTAACGCGAGAAGAGGTGCATGAAGTCAGCTTATGTCATGGGGTACAGCTGGAGGTGACCCAAGGAAAGGCAATGCAATGCAAATAGGCTTTATCAGTAGTGACATTGATCTGGTGAAAGTACACAACTAACCCCCCCCCCCCCTCTCTCTCAGACTCACTTCTTTCCATTTCTATATTTCTATCCCTTAACGGGGAACAAATGAATGAACGGTGGATTTTATTTCTAGAGTACCTCTCCAACACCAACACTCACACCTTCAAAGAACAAACTGTTCATTTCTACGTCTGGTTTTGGTTTTGGTAACAAGTAACTTGAGCCTTGAGACGCATCCCATTCTGTCGGTGTTACCCTCTCGCTCTCTCTCTCTCTCTCTCTCTCTCTCTCTCTCTCTCTCTCTCTCTCTCTCTCTCTCTCATGCACCATCCTTTTTTCTGTTTTTTTTTTTTAGTTAGCCCTAGCTCTCCGCTTTGCAGGAATAATATTATTCTTATCTAAATTTTCATATTCCCTTCAATTTTTTTTCCCATGATTGTAAGAACTTTCACAAAAAAGTGTCGTCTTTTGAGATGATTTACTATATGTTGGTACTTGATAATTTACCTTTTAGCTTTGATTTCGGCAAGGTTTTCATTTTTAAATGCAATTAAGGTCCACGGTTGTACAAGATTTTTTTAGATGAGAAATAGTTAATTATGTTTCTGGGACACCCTTGAAAATTCAATTGATTGTAATTTATGAAAGAATGAATGAATTCTGGTACCATATTCATTTAAGGAGCCGTGAACGTAAACATACACTTGCGAAATCATTTTCAAATCAATTAAAATATTCTGTTAGCTTTTCAATAACTTAAGGGTCTAAATCACGCTGAAATAGACTAACCATACAAATTGGCATATATTCTTATTAAAGCTATGCATAAAAACTATGGCCATATAAAACCAATCACAAAATCTATTCTATCTCAGACATGATCCTATGTATTGCACTCTAAATTCTCATATTATATTTCTACGTGGGCCTATTTTGTTTTTATTTTCCCACTAAATAATGCAAATGTCCACGTTACTTGGCAGTGCAGAACAAGTGTTTTTAAATTAAATTAAGCACTAGTCAAACACCAAATAACTAAGCTCATCTTTTTAATTACTATTTTGTCTCTTCAGCTTGTGTGTGTCGGGAAACTTACAACTTAATTAATTACTTTATTTGACATTTTACAAAAACTAGATGCATTTTTTCAAATGAAAAATCAGTGTAAAAATATGACAAAATATGTTTTAATACCATTCTAACATATGTAAAGTTTATTTACATTTAAAAGATCATTTTTCGTATTATATATCACTCAAAACTTCAGAATTCAATGGAGTGGAATGATATTATGCTATGCATGCAGTCAACCTCACTCCCTTCTCTGGGATAAGATTTTGTTATTGTTGATGTAAAAGTAACTTATTGGCACATTGAATGATTGACTAGTTAATTGTAAAGGATAAATATAGTACGAAAATTATTCAAAAACCAATATAAAAATGTAAATCCCATAACTATAATACTGAGTTTTGTATACTCGACAAGGAAAAAAAATATAAATTTATTTTGAATGTGTGTTTTGTTCGTGAAGTCTTTATTAGAGTGGGGATTATGATTGATGTCAATTGTTTAAAATATTACTTTGTCACTTTCCAGAGAGACAATTCTTTTATATTTTGTCTAACACAACAAATCATGCAAATAATTGAGAGATATGATATAGTTAAAACAAGTCCATTTTAGAGTTCAGTTTAAACAGCTACAAATTGTACATGTTGCTCTTTTCATCAATCTGTTACACAGTACGTTAAAAAATGGAATTGGGTTCCATGTTAATAATATGACAGGTGACATCTGGAGTCTCTCAATAATTGAACTTTGACTAGTTTTTTCTAACTTTTTTTGGATTTTTTATTTCTCTTTCTTATATTATTTTTGTTATTTATTAATTTATATATCAACTTTTAATATTTTCAAGACTATATCTAGGATGATATTTTGGAGTTTTATTTGTTCAAGCGAAATTGATTAAATATGGAACATATCACGATCTCATAAATAGAATTTCAGATAATTGAAACTAGTCTGGTAGTATTGATTGGTAACTTCATGACAACTGTTGGTAGAACATAGGAAAAGGTTTGGCACTGTTAAGGAGAAGGGCAAATGATTTGAGGAGAAGACCGTGATTATCGATAAAAAAAAGTTGGGGTGCTTTCAAGTAATAACTTGTTTTCTTTATCACGAAACCCAGAATAAGTGTAGACTAGACTAGTAATTTGATGAAAAATTTAGCGATTAGTACTTTGCAATAAATAGAAAAGGTAAAATGAGTTTATAAGTAACTAAAAAGAAATAGATGGAGTATGAAAAGAAAGAAGAAGAAGAAGAGGAGGAGGAAGAAGAAGAAAAGGGGAAAGATATATTAAAGAAATAGGGAAAAGAAAAGAAGAAATGGGGAGAAAGGTGGGTGAAAGAATAAAGGAAAGGGGCCCAGTTGGTTGCAAAACGAGGGGCACCCACGTCGGACTAAGGGTAGATGACAAAAATGGTACCTTCAAGTGATGCCCCATTTCAAGATTTCCTCGATCTTCTTGTCTCACTGTTTCCATCTCATCATGCAACGCAACGCAATGCAATGGCAAACTCATAAAATGAGAGAACAAAAGGGGTGCTTATGGAATATGGAAACGTGGGACGGTTGAGATTGTGTTGTGTTGTGTTGTTGTTAAACTTGAGCCTCAAACATTGACAATTCAAGAAGCCCAATTCCGTGGGGAATGGGGAAACTTGTTCGCCTCTAAAATTTTAAATATAAGGAACCACCCAATTGGGTTGGTTGGGAATTAGAACACCACAGCGGTGATTATATTTTATTCATTTATCTATCTATTATTAAGATGGGATGCCATGAGATTCCCGGAAGCAAATCTTATATTATTATATTATGAAATTATACATAAATAAATAAATAATAATAATAATAATAATAATAATAATAATAATAATAATAATAATAATAACACAAGAAAGGGTTTCGTATGGCACATTGCGGCTCTGATTTTTCCCATTTCTAGCTCCCTATTCTCTCTCTCCTTATAGGGTCAAAGGAGTTTGCGTGTGGGCATTCTCATGGCGGATTTTAAATACTTCAACACAAACGTCAAACCTTGCAATTATTGTCTTTTCAGTAAAAATTCTTATTCACTTCCATACCTTTATGTCAAACACATTTTCCAATTTTCAAACACATTATAACACAACACACTCATCAAAAACGTCTATGAACTGCGGACATGACCTTACCACGGAAAAGCTAGAAAATCAAATAAAACAAATGAAATAATCTCTGCGTAACACCTCAACCAAGATGTTGTCAACTATTGACGGATGCATGATGTTCTATTTTACGTTTCGGACCAAAATTTTCTTTAGCCATCATTTGCCATCTTTCAAACTTTCTTCTTAATCCTACTCAACATCATCGTCATCATCTTTTATTTTCTTTTCTACACAAATCATATGGATTATTACGAATTCATTGAACTGGTGGGTTATAATTCTTCACTTTCTTTGACATAGGAAGGATCATAGCATTTGCATCATTTGTAACAAAACAATCCTACAGATTAAAGATGAACCTTTGGACTATTAGATTTCCTGTGAGGCTGTTTTGTGTTGCTATTCCAGCGTTTCATCGTTGTTTTATAATTATATTTTCAGTGTATACCTTCTGCTTTTTTATACATGTCGTGATTTTGTTATTATTCTGAGTATAAGAGTACAAGAATGCTAAAGGTTAAAAAGGTACGGAGCGATATTGAGAGATTTTTACAAAAGGCCATAAAATCAGAAACTAGTTTGCAAGATAGTTTATGTATTAATTGATTTTGAAAATTCTTATTTGAAGAGTGGAGACACATACATAGGAATGGTAAGAATAGTATGATACGCATGCATGTATGAATATCTGAAAATGAATTAATATGGTATTTGATGATGTGGTGGATATTTACGTTGATGTGGAGTAGAAGAAAGTAGAAACGAGGATGTGAATATATAAGGTGGTACGAAATAAATAAGAGTAGAAGAAAGGATGTGGAGAAATTCAAAAGTGTGCATTGATTTAAAAGTTGACCTGAGAATTAATTAATTATTTATTTGTATTTGTAAGGTTGGAGGCATAGAGATGCCTCGAGAATGTGGTCCTTTTGCTTTGGTGATTGGGCACTTGAAACAGGAAAGTTCCTTGATTTTGAAGCGAAATATTTGTCAACCCGGAAAGCAAAACTTTGCAAAAAGGAAGAAGGAATATAGAACTTGTATGATTTAAAACATGAATAGTTGAATGAGTGAGTAGTTAGCTTAACTAATTAACTAAGTATTTTACCTATGACTATTTATATGGCTCAGAATTTGATGTGAAAAGTGATTGAATGTAATTAGCATGAAAGTGGGTTTGAGAGACACCAGAATTACAAAAATGGCGAAAGTAGTTTGAATACCAAGAAACTTCCAATGGGATGGGTGATAGATACATTTTTACTCGTTCTTTTATGTTTAGTTTATAATATTTTAGGCTAGTGTTGATGTTATTTTGTTATTTTTTTGATTTGTTTTGATTTAATAAGTCAATTTAGACATTAGTGTAATTTTTGGTTAATTTTCGTATTTTTTCCAGTTTTGTACAGTTTTCTTGCGCAGACCATATCTGGAGCTACAGACCTTGGATTTGGACGTTCTTGGTGTCGTTGGAAAGATAAGAAAAAGATCTGCAACTTCTCTGTTGGACGAAAGACCCAGTTCAAACTTTAAGGATGTAGAATTTTGCTCACAAATTCTCAGCCCTGTGCAGGATTATACAGATTTTCCTGTGTATATTGTTTTAGTTGATTAGTTGTTAAAAAAAGAAAAAACACTCATTAGTGGGTTAGCCCATTAGTTTAGGCCCAATTATCATGTCTGTAAGCTTCTGCAGCTTACATTAAGAGAGGAGGTTCTTTGTCTACGGGGATGTTTTTTTTCTTTTTGGGGGAGAATTGAGAATAGAGATTACAGAACCTTCCTAGTCTCTTTCTACTATTCATCTTCTCTTTCTTTTCTTCTCTCTCGATAAAAACAATTCAACTGTTTGTTCGCATTAGTTCAACATCATCGATTGAAATGGAGAACTACAAAGTTACACCAATTCAAGGAAAGCAAAACGCATAAAATAGGTATAAATCCGAATTCATCTCTTGCTTTGAATTGTGCTGTTTCACGATTGTGAATGCATTATTAAATACAAATTATTTTCGAATTTATTAAACAACGTATTGGATTCAATACGGTAATGGATTCATAGAATGTGATTGCATTTTTCGTTCCTAATTCGGAAATAGGTTGTAATTGGATTCGGTTTAATTGAGATTGCTGCGGAGTTGTGATTCTTGAATTGGATTTTCATTAAGCGTGATTCAATTTTGCTGCTATTATAATTTTTGTTCATACAAACTGTTTGATAAAATTCCCCACCCCAATTCTTTTATTAGTTTGTGATAATTCAACAAAATACAATTGGTTTATGTCTTTGTGATTCGACCTAGGTTAATCCCACTATTTTGCAAAATAATCTTGAGAACCTAGTATTGTTTGATAGTGCCTTGACAACGCTATCAAAATGGCGCCGCTGCCGGGGACATAAGCCATTCATTATGTTGTTTTGCCCCAGCATAGTAGCTGTTTGTGTAAATAATTCAATTCTGTAGGAATCTTTGTTTTCTGTAATTGCTGTCTAACAATTTGTTGTTGTTGTAATAATCTGAGCTTGTTTTAGAACTAGGAGTTGTCTGCTGTTTTCTGTATTCTGTATCTGTTTTGCTATTGTATTAGTCACTAACCCCTGCAGGAAGCCAATTGTTGTTGCTGTTTTAGTCTGTACAGAAAAATAGAACAAACAATAGCAAGCAGAAAAACTAATCTTGTTGGAACCTACCCAGGAATTTTCATTTCTTAGCCGATTGGGCTGAAATTTGGTCTACAAGGGTAAGACGTGATTCTAAGCAAACTTACTCCCTTTGGGAGTAAGCTAGGCTCAAAATTGCGAAATTCTTTCATCTGCATATAGTTTTATAAATTTTTACATAGGGGTATTTTGGTCATTTTACAGAAAATAGGAAAAATGATATGAAATGATGATTTGGTGTTAGAATAATTTTTTTTTTCTTTGAAAAATTCATCTAGTACTGTTTTACATGTTATAGGGTCCTATATAGTGTAGTATTGATTTTTTTTTTTTTTCACTTTTGACTTTATGTTGATTTTTGACTTTTGGCTGACAACCTTGTATATGTTCTTATTTGTATGACTCGAAGCAATCCTGGAATATTGCATGAAATTGATCCTGAGATAGAAAGAACATTTCATAGGTTGAGAGCTAGTCATAATAGTGGCAATAGTATTGTTCATTCTGGTAATTCTATAAATTCTGTTGATAATTTTCCTTTTGATTTCCGTTCCTATTCTTCTATATCTGAATCTGCATCTGAATCTGAATCTGAATTTGATAATATGACTGATAACCGTGAGCTTACATTGAAGGAGTTGGCTACACCTAATGTTGTTTATCAACCTTGGTGTGTTCAATATCCTGAACATGGGACAAGTTATGAACTTAAATCTGGACTTATACATTTGCTGCCAAAGTTCCATGGACTTTCAGGTGAAGACCCCCATAAGCATTTGAAGGAATTCCATGTAGTGTGTTCCACCATGAGACCTCAAGGAGTTCCTGAAGATCATGTCAAAATGAAAGCATTTCCTTTCTCTTTGGATGGAATTGCTAAGGATTGGTTATACTTTCTTCCATCAACCATCACTACTTGGAAAGAAATGAAGAGGCTATTTTTAGAAAAGTTCTTCCCTGCCTCTAGAACTGCAGCCATTAGAAAAGAAATTTGTGGCATTAGGCAGCTGAATGGAGAGACTCTATATGAATATTGGGAAAGATTTAACAAGTCTGTGTGCAACATGTCCACACCATCAAATTAGTGAGCAGTTATTAATCCAATATTTCTATGAGGGACTAACTTTGATGGACAGGTGCATGTTAGATGCAGCTAGTGGAGGAGCATTAATGGACAAAACACCAAATGCTGCAAGACAATTGATTTCAAACATGGCAGCCAACACTCAACAGTTCGGATTTAGAGGAGCAAGTCAAAGGAGTCAATGAGGTAGCAGTTGACTCTAGTTCTATTTCTCGGTTTTGATTCAACATCTATTTTTTCTCGCAGATAATCAAAGGTTGGAGAACAAGATTAATGAGTTGACCACCATGGTGAGGCATTTAGCAATTGGCCAACAACAGGTGAGTGCCGCAAATGCATGTCCAACAACCAGAGTTTGTGGCATTTGTGCTCGCCATTGAACATCCAACTGATGCATGCCCTACTTTACAAGAAACAAATGCTAATGTTGCTGGAATTTACACCAACCAACAGTCGCAATATAGACCTCCACAACAACAACAATATAACCCATACTCCCAGACATACAACCCAGGTTGGAGAGATCATCCAAACCTGAAATGGGGGCAACAACAACATCAACAAGTGCCTTCATTCCAACCTACTCGGTAAATATCAACCTCCTCCAGCCAAGCAACAACAAGAACAACGATCGCCTCCCGCACAAAAAAATGAGCCTACATTCCAGGAGATGATAAACCAAATGGCTGAAAGTGATCCTAGCAAAGATCTCATTGATTTGATGAAGTCAAAGATAAAGTCAAGGGTCAACTCTGCAGCTAGTCAAACAAGTCACTCGAAGAATGGAGTCAAGACTTAGTGTGTCTTAACGAAAGCTTAGGTAAAACCACTTTACCTTTTCCACCGCATAAAGCTTCTTCACTCAATTTGCAAAATGCCTCAAAAATAGTTTTAAACAAATCAAACAAAAGCATTTTGTCAAAGAACCTTCTTAACAATGGTTTTAACTCGATATAGTTTTTTAAAGAAACGTTTAAAACACTTAGAATGTTTATAGAAGTGTTTTCACAAGCATTTTAATTGATACAAAACCTTTTAATCGATTAAAATTCTTTATGACCGATTAGAATTCGAATATAATAGGTCGAATGCATTATAATCGATCAGATCTTAAATATGAGCGATCAGAACTATTTTAATCGATTAAAACACGTTTCAATCGATTAAAATTACTTGGATGTCGTGATGACTGATCAAAATGAGATTATGACTGATCGAAGTTGGATATGATCGATCGAATTGAATTATGACCGATCAGATCTGTTTCAATCGATTAAAACGTATTTCAATCGATTAAAATAACTTAGAAAATCTTTTCAATCGATTAAAATGAACTTTCAATCGATTAAAATGACTTGAAAATATATGTGCGCTTTTTCAATCTATTGAAACGACTTTATATCACCTAAAATAACTTCGAAAGTTTTATAAGAAGGTTTTTAAACAAATCAATCGATTAATACGCGATTCAATCGATTGTTTTATACTTAGAAAATGTTTGTAAAACGCTTTAACCGATATAAACATGGTTGTATCAACTAAAACATTTTCTGCTAAAGATCAAGAATGCATTAATGGGTTGAAAGGACTTTTAACAGATTATAACTGCTATTTCAACAGATTAAAACAAACTTTCAACAGATTAATTAATGCAACAGATTTGAAAATACTCTTTTATAAACAGAATTGCTTGAAACTTTTAAATAGAGATTGAATATCAGCTTTTACACAAATTCAAGCAATCAATACAAACAACTATTAGCATTTTTCAAGAAAGATACACAACTCGCTTTTGTGAACTTCTTTGAAATCTTTCTTGAGGCACTTTGCATTTCTTTGAAGAAGAAACTGATCGTGGATTGGTGTAATCCGGCTTGAGCTTTCTTTGTTTCTTCTTTTCAATTTCTATTCATTCTTTTGTACTCGCTTTTGTACCTGGAATTTGGGTACAAGTTTTCTGCACTGTGTAGAGGTTGTAGAAGTTTCCAGGAACTGGAATTTGGTTCTTGGTGGGAAGGTTGTAAGCAAGAGCCGGAATTTGGTTCTTGTGTGTGGTGCCTCGGAATTTGGGCACCGGTTTCTCTCGCACTGGAATTTGGTTGCAGTAGGTTTCCAAGAGCTGGAATTTGGTTCTTGGTGGAGAGTTAGAATAGGTGTAAGAGTGTGAGTCTCAGAAACATCTATTCTAGTGGAACCCACTGGAATTTGGCTCGGAGACCGGACGTAGCCCTGGTCATGGGTGAACCAAGATAAAATTACCGGTGAAATCTTTCCTAACCTTTCTCTCTTTAATT